AAAAATTAAAGTTTAATTTTGGTCCCACTCGGCAAAAAGACTATTTACTATTCTGCTAAGTTTCAAATGTAAACAAGTATGGCTGCTATAGTAAAAAAAAAATAGGCTTATCTGCACTTAAACAACTTTTAAATTTTTGGTAATTCTACAACTAATGCAGATTAACTAAAGTCATTAAAAACCGGAACTAAGAACAAATAATCAATCATTTTTAAAGCACTTATAAGTATAAAAAAAATTTACAGAGTGACCTTTGTTTTGTGTGGCCGACTGCAACTGAAAAAGGAGGTGCACAGTGCATTTATAGCAGTCCTTATATAAATTTCACGCTTTCAGTCCTTGTTTTTGAATTATGCGCGATTACATTGTATTTGCCCAGATGCCACTGCTTGCATTCATTGGGGTTTTAATATTCTTTTGCAGAGAGGTTTTTATTCTGCCTTCTGTACATATCATGCAAAACTTGTTTAATTGGATAGAGGTCAAGGCCTTTCATTGCCGATATGGTACCTAGAATTTTCATGATATACTTCCTTTTTTGTACCGGAAGAGAACAGTTTCTAATTTCTGCTCCCTGCCCGAGTAACAGATGGGTTATACATAATCTATATTTTTGCATTCCACCAAAAAGGGAGGTTGCACCCGGCAGTTATAGAGTCTATATACAAATTTTTCATGTCTGAGGGCTACTCGTCTTTGAGTTAATGGATACCTTCTTATGTTGTTCCCGCCATGAAGGTCTCTTCTAAATCCCTTTTAATCAGTTTTATATTTGTTTGGGGAAACAAAAGAGATCCTATTCTGTCCTTTTGTGTGCAGGTGTACACCCGTATCGTTTATCATGATAGCAGTCCTTCTATTTTCGTTACTTTTATCGTTTTGTGATACAAAATTTCCTTTCTTCTTCACCAAGAAAAAAACAAAACTCGTTAATATCCACATTGGATAAAATCTTTCGCTTTTTACCATTTAAGAAAGGTTTACACTGAAAATAATTTGAAAAATAACGGAATTAGTCATTCATTGTCAACTTTTTTATGATAAATATTTTTCAGTGTGTGTTCCCTGTTACTGGAATTGATTTGATTGAATTTTGTTCAACCCCGTGGAATTTTATCTCCAAAGACAGGAAGAAATAGAAATTTTTGTGTGAGTCGTCGAACACTACCGAAATTAAAAACAACAAACTTGTTACCTTTTGGCTGAACTGAAGAAAAGAATGTAAAGAAATTTCAAATAAAGCTAATAAATTTTTATTCCCTTTTTGCACAAACTATTTGTGTGAATAAGGATTTTCTTCCAAGTTATATGTGAAAAATAAATACAGAACAAAATTAAAAGTGGATCCTAATTTAAGGTTAAAACTAATGATTTCTCTTAAACAAGCACAAGTTTCACACCTCTTCTTAATTGTCATAAATTTTGATAATTAAAATGGTAACCAGTTTCTGATCTAATATTTATTTATGTGTTCATATGTAATAAAAATAGCCGTTAAGTTGTGAAAATGGCAAAATGAATATAGGCTGATTTAAAATTGTTTTTACAAATTAAGAGGGGTGATGGTACTCATCAGATGAGCAATAATTACCATAGAACATAGGGTTGCATTCCACTCTGAGAGGCAGAAAAGAGGAATACTAGAATTTCAACCTGAACTTACCTGTTAATTCAAGCTCAGACTTTGATGGCAAACACTCAAATGCACTTAATTTGGTTTGCAAGGCTTCAACCTCACAAATGACTGCAGCAAGTTAACTATCTAATCAAGGGTTGAATATTATCAACCAACTGCAACTCAAGGTAGGTTTGATGCTATTAAGCAGTTTCCCCCCTTTCACCATCTTCTGCCCTGTCCTCCTGGTTGTACTGTGCTGCACTCATTCTACTTGAAGTGCCCTTCTATGGAAAGTTCTGACAGCCTGAATAGCTAATAATGCCTGACAGATAATTGAGAGAAATAAAGAGCAGATAAATGGTCTTGTATGCCAATTTCAAGTGCTTTAATTAGCTGCTATTAAAACTAAATTGAAATAATATGAAATTTCACTTGCCAGTTGAGACTGCAGATTTATTACAATCTTGATTAGTATGCTTTTGATTGATATAAATATTAATATATTTTGTATTTTCTGTTAACTAAACCATAAAATTGGATATCAAGAGTATTAAATCAGTTATATAGAAAACAGTGCCAGCTGTCCAAAATTTAAATTTCAGAAGATGTGTATTATATCTAATATTTTTCTCTTGAGAAGAAAAGGAAAACAGAAGTGAATAACTTTTTTAAAAGTAGGCTAATAATAGAGATACTAGAATGTGATTCTTTTCCTACATTAGAATTCATTTCATTGCTATGCAAAATTTGAAATAAATTCACCAACAGGGAGAAGGTTGTTTGCAGATTAAAAATTGATGCATGATTTAGAGTAGTATTTTCCCACTTTGGTGAGATGGCAGGCTCATGCAGGCACTTTTTTTTTATGTAAAATAAGGACTGGATCCCAACAGATTTGCTCAAAAAGTCTTTAAAATTTTATGAGCTAATGCATTAGCCTAAGTATTAATAATTAATTATGGCTATAATCATAAAAGATGACCGGTAGTACTTTTTAATATGGTGCTCTGCAGTCTGGCAGTTTCCAGGATCTGATGCTCTGCTGCTATTAATTTGTGTGTCCATCACCAAGGTACTGTTGTCATTAATGGTCAGGATTCAAAACCTGCTTAAATGCCATGGAAGCATTATTGTCTCAGTTCTGTTAAATGTTTTCTTTTCATCTGTATTACATAGTGTCAAGGTGTCAACTTTGAGACCGGGTGTAGAGTTGGGTGTTCGTTTTCAATAAGTTCAAGCATAAATTATGTTACCTATGCTTCTAAAGGTGAGATAATAGAGTGTTAAGGAATGCTTTTAAAAGTATCTTATGTCTGGTGAGGGACATCAGAATCTTAAGTGTTTTTATAAAAATGAAATTTAAAAGCTGAAGAAAATACTGAGAGGTGTCAGAAATACAGAATTATGTAATGTTCTTAATAAAATCGTTTAAACTGAAACATAATGAATGATATAAATATACTGTAGTTAGCCTATGAATGCAAATATGTGTTCTTATTGTTTTAAATTTGATTCTACTTTGATATCATACAAATATGTAACTGAAATTAGCTGGCCAGCATAGCAGTTGAGCTAGCAAAGACTTTGTGCAAGAGGTTAATGTTTTATTTCTGTCTTCCATTAATTTCTTGCTTATTCTTTATTTGTGATTTGCCAGTTGTTAGATTCCAAGTTTGCGGCTTTTAAGGTACATAGCATCTACTTGTAATTTCTTAGCATTAGAAGGATGAATAGAATTAGGACCATTATATGAATGTTTATTCAGAGTGGCAGAATGTTTTCAGTGCATTTTAACTAGAAAAGTTTCTAGGAGATTAGTAAGTAAAAACTAAAAAGGATGAAAGAATAGCAGTAGCACTTTTATGAAATTGAGTTTGTAGTTGAGGGAAATTTTTTAAATTCAAATTTCCAAGCACATGAAAAATAAAATAATTTTCTTAGTGAAAGGATATTTTTTACATGCAACTAAAATATTAGAGTGAGAAAATGAATAAAAGAATTCAATAACTTGAGGAAAATAAATGGTGTTAATCATTTAAAAGCTTTGTTAAATCCTCTTCTTAATTGTCATAATAATAATAATTGTATTGACAGAATAATAACTGACTAATTCATTGTCACAAGTATGCAAAAAATAAAATTTTTATTGTCATGTTTGAAACAGTAGTTCCATGCAGCACTTATGAAAGAGGATTTTGCATCAAAAGGAAAAGCAAAGGTTGATGGAGAAATGTTTAAACATAATTCGGCAACAAAATAGAATGCTAAGCCATCCGGGCATTTGTTACCAGCTTCATTAGTAACACTGTCAGTGTAGGAATAGTTCCAAATTTGGTTCACCATCTGTGTCTCTAAAAACACTGAACAAATGAAATTTGGTATCACTTCATTTTATACTGATATTTTCTTGTGAGTGATGTCCTATTTCAACAGCATTGTGTATCCCTATGCAGAAACATAGTAACCTAGATGTTATTGCATAAACAATACTTAAACAGAGAACTTTTCACTTTCAAGATAGCAGTTTTATCAAGTACTTATAGGTTACCGAAAAAAATTAGAACTGTAGATCCACTGTCTGCTAAATGGGATAGAATTATAGGTGGCAACTAAATGGACATGGTTTCAATTCTTATACAGGGCAAAACAATGATGTCATATTAATGAACAAGAGTTCTTGAAATTTTGAATTTATTTGAATTTAGAGTGTACAATAATGCCTTGATAAGTATTATTGGAAAGCAAGCAAGAAAACTTTAGCATTTGAATGGTATGTATAAAGTATTGCTTAAACAATAAATAAGCAATAGCATGGAATGGAATGCTGCATTTATGAAGATTTGTATATTGTTCCTAGTGTAATTAGAAACAGAAAATATGATAAATGCTTCTTGTTAAGCCAAAAGGTTTTACAGTAAATGATTTCAGAGTTTAGCGAATTTTGAGATAATAGGAAAGATGTTTATTGTGAAATAAATACTTGAACTATTCTATATTGCTCTATGTTAATAGGCTTTTATGCGACATCTAATTTATGTGGGCTTATAATGTGCTTTTGTGTATGCTTATAAATGTTGCTTTTAAGACTGTATTTATTCAAGACTGTATTTCTATTTTGTTTTTCATAGAAATAAAAAGAAAATTATGTATTTTAATTAGTATTTCCTTTTTTAACTTCAAGAAGTATAATGCAGAGTTTCATTATAAATAAATTTATTTGGGAATTCTTATGGGGTTAATTATATGTATTTTTAACATTCTTTTTTAGTTGAATATTTTTTTCAGTTTATTTATTGGGAATATTTGACATAATTTTAGAAGTATTACTTTTGCTCTTATTTTCAAAGTATTGTTTGTTATAATTTTGTTTTCTTCATTACAGGTTTATCACCCAGCTTGTTATGAAGATTTTAAGAAGGTAGTTATAAAAAATGTTATCGTCTTTATTATCTGGTCACTAAATTTTGAATGTGTTTTGTCTGTTCAGAAATATGTGCTAATAAATTACAGCATTTGTCAGTTTATGTATCTTATTTCAGAGACATTTGCATTAACATTTCATCTTTAGATTGTTACATTTACAATTTTGTGTAATGTAGCCTGGTGGCAAATGAAATATATATATATATATATGGCTTTTTTTTAATTTATCAAACTAGATTACTACTCTTTCGTAATCAGATGGAAAAATTCAAGTTTGAAAAACTGTGAGGATATATTTTTGTTATAAATTTATATATTGTAGTAATTAACTTCTTATTTATAAAATTTAATTTAAACATTAAATGCATATACTTTGAATATGAAACATATTTATAAGCGTATATTCAAGTTCACATGAAATAAAAGTAACATGCATTTTGAATTAGCAAAGTTAATAAAACTCAGAAGAAATCGTTCTGCATATCATGGTTTAAAGCTCAGTAAACCCCGTTTTTTAATTTAACAGCTTTCCATATACATTTTAAAGTAATTTCTAGTTTGAACATCAAAATACAAGAATTATTACAGAATATCAGCCATATTAATGAAATTGTACATAACAGTTATATTATTTTAATTACTTTTTTGCTTCTTAGCTATGACTGATACATTTTATTCCGTTATACATTTGTTAGTGTTCTAAGTGATTAAAAACATCTCCAGTTTTGCCCACTGAAAAGAGGTATGCTTAAAGACATAGCAATATTGAATTAATTTTTCTCAGAATATGAACATGCTTTGACTTCTCAGGAAATATAAGCCATTTGCCATAAAAAGTCTTAAAACTAGTCTGTTTACTTGTAAAAGTGAAAGTCTCTCTGGTAACATCTGAGTGGTATAATTAATTAACCAACAAACACATTTTTGTTAAATTTCTTTTCTTGAAATATGAACTACAAAAGTTCTTAACTTGGGTAACTGGTTTTGACATACTACATATATTGTCATTAATTACCAGATACTCACTGCCATGCACATAATATTGCCTGTGCATCAATACATGTCATGATCTTGTAATAGGACCTGTGAACTCATATACTGCCTTCTGCTACTGAAATAAATCCCTGTTAGAAGTAAATGAACCTCAATATAGCTTAATAATTGGTCTTTAATGATTTGATCTGTGACATTCATGGTAAATTTTAGATATCATATGCAACAATGATTGATTTAGCAGTGAAAGAAAAATGTTAAGAAGTTTTAGAATTTCAGCTGTGACTTATTAAGGCTCAAAAATTGATAGCTCAGGATCATTGATGCCTCTAGTGGGTGATGAAGTCAAACCGACAGATTTTGTTAAAAACTGTAGCCATGAACTTTATATCGATTTTATTGAAGGATGTCATTCTCAAACCATCCAATCAAAGGTGTTTCATTTCGATTCTGAGTCGGGAACTATAAAGCATTAATCAATGATTACTATCTTTAACACGGCCTGCCATGTGCAGTGGTATGACCAGCACAAATTGAAGCAGTAAAAGAACATCTTTTATGAATTTAAGAATTTTATATATATTTTTTTAAATTTTATTTTATTATGGAAACTCAGCAGGCATGCATTTTCTGAGGAGGATTATTAATTTGAATATATTATACTCGTGAAATAATGCAGTGAAAGAATTTTTGTGGGGGTCATAGTTTCTTGATTTGATATTGCTTTCTCTGTTTTATGACCTACTACTTTAAATGCTGATGGCTCTGAAGCAATACTAGATATTTCGGTTGTGTCTACTACGTGGAGATGGGACAGAACTGATCTATATCATCTTCAACATAATAATGCTTTAAGTAGAGTTTCAGTGTAATGGGAAACAATGCATTTGATTAGCTAGCCTAGAGCCTGACATCAACCCAAATGAGCATCTTTGGTATGAGCCGGAGTGCAAGTTTGAGAGCGAAACTAAATTGCTTACAAATGAATATAGTTCTGTTACCATGCTACCAAATGAAAACAGAACCAGAACTGCTACCATGAAGAGTATCTACCTGAAGATATTTGCAGAAATATAGTAGAAAGTCTTTGATCCTGATCTTCGAAGAATAGAATTTGTGATAACTGTGAATATTGGAATTATATTGCTTTGATGCTATTTGAATTTCAGGTATACATATTTCTGTAGGTGTCCAGTTACTGTTTACCTTAGAATGTACATGGTAACCTTTAGAAGCAGCACTTTGTTCCAGTAATTCAATGTATTTACTTTGGGAATCTCTTGAATGAAATGTACCATGCTCAGTAGTTTTTACCTACATGGCCACTGATAGGCTTATCATTTAAAAAGAAATTAATATTATGTAAAATATTAATTGAGTAATTCTTCTGTTTTTCTCCTCTTCCCCCTCTGGTAATTAAGTTCATTCTGTTTAAGAATTAAAAATATAAGTTCTCTTATGATCTATATATTAAGTACTTTAATAACTTCATACTGTGCCTCTATTATTAAGCTTAGAAATCTCTTAATAATTTTAAGCTCTTAAAATTATATTAATGAACAAACACTATGCCCGAGGCATACAGCCATAAGACTAACCCCTCATGAATACTGTTGGGTGATGCTAGAGAACACCTGTCATCGGTGAAGGCCTTGAAAACCTTATTGGTGAGGGCCCACATGTAGCTGAGCTGTACCATTGCGGAACACTGGGAGTTCGACCTGGGATTGAATTCCGGCGTATGGGCTAGCTGCATGGTTGGTTTTCATTTTTTCCATATTTTTAACATGAATATGAGACAGTTTCTTTTAAAAGTCCTCCACAAAGCCATCTTGCCTGATGGGCAGATAGCCCCTGAGTTGTTTTGCCTTAATTAGTTAACCTTACTTTATCCTTTTGATAATGCTACGACTTTGCAAATCTCCATCCCAGTTTTGATCGAGAGTTTTCATCCCCAAGAGAGAGAGAATCTGAAGGTCTGTTGTAGCCGTCTTTTCCTATAACAATCTTTTTTAGAGTACTTTCCGCTCACTGTAAATTAACCACTGTACCAAACAGTGTAGCTTTTAAATTAGGTGGCCATAGGAACTAACTGTCGCAATTATACATGAAGTAATCATTAAAGTGCTCCTTTTTTATTTGTTCCACTCTATGAAGGGGGAAAACTTTGAAAACATACCCCTCTCCCCAAAAAAAAGATAATATTTCATCTAATGTTGCTTGTGTTTTTCAGTATAAGGTGGGAAAGGAACTCACTGCAGCTATGAATAGAACCATTCTTGTTAGTTCATTTGCAATGTGAATCACCTTTCTGCGATGCACAGCATGAAATTTATAGCTTTTCAAAAAGTTCATTGAGGTACAGGGTGCAGCAGGGAAATGAGTGATTTGAAATCTGCGATTATGCATGCGCAGATAGAGTAGGGGAATGCGTTGCACTATTATTGCGTAGCTAAATGTATGCCATTTGAGGTACGCTAGAGCAGTGGATCGGTTGACAATACGTTGTTGCTGTAAAAATGTTTTATCAGAACAATGAAAATTATGAGGTGGCAGGGCAAGTGTTTCATGGAAAAGAGAAGCTGGGTTGTTACGATTCTGTACTGTCAGCTCCTGCCATAAAAGTGTGGATCTAGAATTTTGAAGAAACAGGCTTGACCCTGAAAAAGAAGCTTTCAAGGAGGGAGAAGAAAGTTCGTAGCTCAGACAACGTTGCTATGGTAGAGAGGGCAATGTCCAGGAGCCCAAGACGTTCTGCATGGCACCATGCTTTGTCTCTCAATATGTCAGATAGGAGTTTGAGACAAATTCTACACGTGGAGCTACAGTTTCACCTGCATAAAATACAGATCACACAGCAGTTAAAACCTTGCGACTGTGAAAGTCGGATAAGATTCTGTTGAAAAATGCTTACTTGGATTGCAGAAGATTGGGAATTTCTTGATCAGGTGTGGATGTCTGATGAAGCACATTTCCTTCTGAATGGATATGTCAACAAACAAAATTTTAGATACTGGTCCCCCAAAAATGCCTTGGACGTCCACGAAAAAACTTTACAGAGTGCCAAAGTGACGGTGTATTGGCATCATTGGCCCATTCTTTTGAGTGGATGAAGCAGGCAATGCAGTGACAGTAACGTCTCAGCGGTATGTGAATATGCTTGAGACATTTTTGTCATGTGAAATGACAGTTTCCTGAAGTTACATGGTTCCAACAAGATGGAGCCACTGCCCATACTGCAAACCTTTCTGTAAATGCTTTACGCCAACTCTTTTCTAGTTTGATCTCCAATAGGGATGACATTTCTTGGCCTGCCAGATCCCCCGACTTAACGGTGTGTGACTTTTTCCTTTGGGGATATCTCAAAACCAAAGTGTTTTCTAAACGCCCAGAAGATCTAGATGAACTTAAAGCAGCTATTTGTGAAGAGGTTGCAAGTTTTTCTGGAGAAATGCTCTGCGTGCAATGCATAATGCTGAAGCAAGATGCCATAAGTGCCTCAGAACAAATGGAGGACATTTACCAGACGGGATTTTTAGGACCCAGATTGCATTTCGAACAATTGCTTTTTGGAAACAAAAACATTTTCACCAATGGCATTTCATGTAGTTTATGTGTGTGTATCTACAAAATGGTAAATACATTAGTATAAGCAAAAAAACATTGTTCATAATCGTCCGTTTCCCTGTCACACCGTATACTTCTTTTATAGTGTATTGCACAATAGTTAATAAGAAGGGTGCCTTGTACTGATCTTCAGGGAGGAGGAGTGAATTGATAATGAACTGCAGTCAGTCTCATGTTATATGTGGCCTTACATGCTTACAGTTCAGCATAACCTTTTGTTGGCTGATGTAAATTTTAAAAAATTCATGGAAAATTGTTTCATGAAAAGTAAATAAACTGTAGACCATTAAACTAGACTGTACAAAAGCATATCACAGGCATGGTCCATAAATGCAACACTTTAGATATGCACATTACAGTCAATGTATTTCAATT